TACACACACACACACACTAAATAAATAAATTGGGAAAACAATGAAGTTGGTAGCTGGGTCCAGCTACCAAATGATACTATAGGGTTATTGGAAACATTTGGAAATGATACGTTTCTCTTCTAGGGTCTCTATGGCAGTGTGATTGTAGCAGGAGGAAACACGCTAATACAGAGTTTCACTGACAGATTAAATAGAGAGCTTTCTCAGAAAACTCCACCAGTAAGTTTTTTCTGTTCTTTGTGTTATTTAGTTTTGTGGAATTTATTAGATAATTGTGTGCCTTTACAGTGTGAATAATATCTATTATTAATCAAGATGTCCTACGTAACACCTATTGTTCCTTTTCTATTACTTGAATCTCTTTAATGTTTATGTGTGCTGTGTGCACATGTGTGGGTACATTCTCCCTGCATGTTTGTCTGGAGGCCACAGGTGAAATTAGGTATCTTCTATCTCTCCACCTTATTGGCACACATAGACATTGACATATAAGTGGGCACCCAAGAATGTGCATTCACATACACTCACAGGGCAAATGGTAATTTTCAAAGGAGAGGAGAATCTGGAGGGGTAATTTACATACATTAATATAATACCAGGTGTAATAGGCTTTTAATGGTGTTATGTGTGTCTGTAGAAATTGTCTGTTTTTGGCTACTCCTGTTTTACACATGCTGTATGTTTATAGTTAGAAGTGCTATTTGGGTGTCTATACACTTCCATGGTTGACATCTGCCTTCACCATACTGCATTGTTGGAGATGATGCTCTAGACAGTGGTTCTCAACCTTCCTACTGCTGCGACCCTTTTATACAGTTCTTCATGTTGTGGTGACCCCTGATCATAACATTTTTTGTTGCTACTTCATAACTATAATTTTGCTACTGTTATGAATTGTAACGTAAATACTTGATATTCAACCCCTGTAAAATGGTCATTTGACCCTAAAGAGGAAGCTGCAATACTTGTTCTGACCATTGGATTTCATAAAAAGTCTATAAATACAACTATAGGCATGAATGGTACAAGGTCTGCCTTAGAGGAATTTAGGGGCTGCAGGTAACTATTTTTGCAGAGGACCTGAGTTGCCAGAACCTACATGGGCCGGTCATACCTCCTGTAACTCCAGTTCCAGGGTGTCCAGTGCCCTCTCTGGTCTCTTCAGACACCAGCATTCATATGCACATACCTCACAGAGGCATACACATAATTAAGATAATGGGACTTTTTTTCTTTCTTTTTATAGAGTAATTTAGAAACTCTTGTCCTTTAGGAAGTAATTAAAATCAGTGAAAATGTCAGGAGAAAAGTTCATACTGGAACAGACACCTGTACCAGCACCTTCCCTGGTCCTGTGCTCTACCCCACCACATACATTTATTTCACTGTGAAATACTCCACATATGTGTTGTATAGTGTGTATCTGGCATAGATGCCTTGAAAATTATCCCCAGAGGCAGATTCCTAGGGAGGAGGGAAATGTCCCTTATTATAGGAAGTGAGGTAAATGCAGTATTGAATCAGGCCTGGTGCAGCTACCAGGAGGCTAAGGGAGAAAGATGGTAAGTTCAAGGTCAGCTTGGCTATACCATGTCCAAAACAGAAGCACTAAGTTTTTAGTTTTTTGAGATGAGGCATACATTGTAGTACCATTGTAGAGCAGACTAGCTTAACTCAGCATTCTGCCCCCTCAGCCTGAATGCTGGGCACACTACTAGTAGATTTGGAAGACAAGCAGTATGAATCAAAAGTTACACAATCTGGCATTTTGATTGGGTAGAGTTGAGATATAGGGTGCTCTGATGGGTAGGATGGGAGACTTCAGGTGACAATGAATTAAACACCTAGTGTGGTACCTTTTGAAGTATATGTATGAATTGTAAGTGCTGCCCCTTTACTATGCAGTTTTAAAAGCTTTTGTTTATATTGGTTTATCTGTCAATTTGTTAACAACTGAGTTAGATACACATAAATTCTATCTTTACATCTCTAAATGAGATTACAAAGTAACAGTGTTTAAAGGAGCTTTATAAAACATTTTTAGTAGAGCTGTTCAAGGGAAGTAGACTTCCAGCTCTGTGTAATCTCTTTAGTGCTGCAGAAATGAAAATTCCCAGGGGGAGTGTCATGCTGAGAGTATTCAGTCAAGTTATGAGCAGCCAGAGTTCGGTTTCAGTTTTTACAGGCCAGTGTTTTCCTACTTGGCAAGGTGCTGGCTGCCTGTATTTGCCCAATTCTGAGTTATATAGTTTCTTAACCCCATATTCATTGAGACCTTTCTTATGAACTAACCTAACCTGTGTCATTTATTAGCCTAGCTACTTGACAATATGTAAAATTATTTGGTGTCAAGTACTTTTCCCTCTTTGTGTGTAGGTGCATGTGGGGGGGTGGTATGGAGGGAGTGGGGGTGTGTGATATGGATGCTATCTAATCCTGGCTGTAGACCAGACTGGACCGAAACTCAGAGACCTGCCTGTCCCTGTGTCCCAAGTGCAGGGATTAAGTGTGTGTGCTAGCAAGGCCCTGGAAGTTTCTCAGCACTGAAGCCCCAGGTTGGCTGTTGTGGCTGTCCTAATATCCTAATGCTTCTTCTGTTGCAGAGCATGCGGTTGAAACTGATTGCAAACAACACGACGGTGGAGCGGAGGTTCAGTTCATGGATCGGAGGCTCCATTCTAGCATCTTTGGTTAGTAGATAAGCTGCTTTATAAGAATAAAGATTTGAAGCCGGGTGTTGGTGGCACACGCCTTTAGTCCCAGCACTCGGGAGGCAGAGGCAAAGGCAGGCAGATCTCTGTGAGTTTGAGGCCAGCCTGGTCTCCAGAACGAGTGCTAGGATAGGCTCCAAAGCCACAGAGAAACCCTGTCTTGAAAAACACAAAAAACTATAAAGATTTGAGAGGAGAGCTGTGAGAATGGGATTGATGTGCAGCAGTTTATGAGGAGAATTTTATTATCTGACAGTGTTCCATCTTTTCTCTGAAAAATTATTTATTACATCTCTCCTGGTTCTTATTGTTGGAGCTCAAGAATGCTGTTTAATATTTATTCTGTACCGATAAATATCTCTCTTGGTACTATTAGTAACCCTCCCCAACTCAGTTTTTTTTTTTACCAGAACAGCACTGTGGTTTTCCTGGTAGTGGTTTTTTATTTATTATAATATTGAATTATAAATTTTTAATCCAAGCAGAAATTTCCTTTAAAACAATGATTCTTTGACTTAAAATATACCATTGAAAATACTAAGTTTAATAAAAAAAATACTAAGAATGATTTCAGTGCCTTATTGGTCTCTGCACTTAAAAACTGACAGATGAGTGGGGGACATTTACATATAAGGATGACACCCCACCCTCCATCAACCTCAGGTGGCTTCCACCTTGCAGTCTTCTTCCTTAGCCTCCAGAACACTGAGACTACAGGTCTGCATCGGCACACTTGGCTCCATATTGGGGTACAACAGAACACCTCATCAGTGGACCTTTGTCAGCCTATACTGACTCCCTTTTCAGGGAGAGCAGTTGAGCCCCTGCTTGTAACACCTATTTTGGCACTGGGCAGACCTAGGTGTAATGCATTTAGTTGTCATTCCTTCTTGAAGTTTGTTATTCCCCAACTCCTGATAAGACTTATCAGGAGTTGGTTCTGTGGGCCAAGTGAGATTACTCTGCTGAGTCTTGAGGGAAAGCTCAGGAGATTGTGTCTTGGGAGGCCAGAGGTAGAGCATTCCCTCTTTTCTTCTAAGAGCTGAAATACTTGCATGGGCCTAATGATAGGTTCCATTACTGTCTGAGGACCCTTTGTCTTGTCTTTACCAGCCACTTTGTAATTGCTGCTCACTGTAACAGGTATAGAGGGGCTTAGTGTTCTCTCAGACCCAAAAGGCTAGAGTAGGCTAAACAGTGTCTCTGGCCTGTCTTAGAGGAAGGAAGAAAGAATAGGGGGGGCAGTACTATTTTGGAGGAGGGATTTTAATAGTTTAGCAGTTGTTAAAGACATTATGAGTAAAAACACTACCTTCTAATAAAAGGTGAGGCATAATTATGTAATACTTTTTTCCATCTTACAGGGTACCTTTCAACAGATGTGGATTTCCAAACAGGAATATGAAGAAGGAGGGAAGCAGTGTGTAGAAAGGAAATGTCCTTGAAGGGTCCCACCCTGCCTGCCCATCACCTCACGTCTGTAGCTTTAGTACACTCAGGAAAAGATGACATCTTTTGTAGAATGTTTATAAATGTTTGCATATTTCAATGTCCACTTAAATTTTTTAAGGCTTTAACTGGCTCTATAAATTAAAATGAGTTTGTGCTTTCCTTGAAATGCACTTATTCTTATTACAGGCATTTTATAATTTTGTATGAATGTCTATTTTCTCTAAATATTTTCTTTCAGTAAGTACTTTCCAGCTCTCCTGTGGGTTGGTGGAGTTACTTTTTATTGACTAGTAAAAGTTACTGCCTATGCTTTTTACCTTAGGCTTATAAAACTAAATAAAAATCACTACCCGTCCTAGAAGGGTTTTGGATTCTTGTCTGTGTTGTGACTTGCTGTTGTCAGTAGTGCTTTTACCATTATTTTGATGATAGGAAGCAAATCACTGTTTTGCTAACAGTATCCATGTCCCTTCCATGCTTAAAAAAAATTGTGTATGGGTATTTCATTTGCATGTTCGTCTGCACAAAACTTGTGCCTGGTGCTTGCAGACGCCAGAAGAGGGTGTTGGCTCCCCTCCAAGTGGAGTTTCAGATTGTTGTTAAGCCTTCATGTTTGTGCTGGGAATTGAATCTGGGTCCTCTGGAAGAGCAACTAGTAAGTACTCTTAAGCACTAAGCCATCTTTCCAGCTTCCTCCCTCTTCACATTTTTAACAGTAGTGGTGAAAACAGCACTCCCAAACGGATTTCGGTTCTAGCATCACTTGGCAGCTAGCATCAGATTTATACCAAGACATCAGGTGTTATTAAGCCTGCTTAGAGCTCAGGACCTGTTCAGTAGGAACTGAACCTGAACTCTATGCCTGGTTTTGGTAGAAGCAGCACCACTTCTAGGGTTAATTAACATGCCACTTATCCAGAAGAACAAGTGATGTCATTTGAACAAGAGCTTTTTTTTTTTTTTATAAGCTGCTTAAAAGACATTCACATCAGGACCCAGACTGCTTCAATATCAGAACTGGACTTCTGGATCTCATTTTAGACAGTACTTGACTTCCGGTCTTCAGATAGATGTGGGAACTTTGCCTGCAGAATTTTTTCTTTCTTTTTCTGTAAACTTTTCTTTCTTGCTTCAATTCGAGCTTGTTTCTCAAGTCTCAGTCTAGAATGAAAACATAACAGCAATTAGACAAAACCATTCCATTTCGAAAAGCATGTCCAAGCCAAGAGATGGCTCAGAGGTTAAGAGCACTGACTGCTCTTCCAGAGGTCCTGAGTTCAATTCCCAGCACCCACATGGTGGCTCACAACCATCCATTATGAGATCTGGTACCCTCTTCTGGTGTGCAGATATACATGGAAGCAGAATCACATTATACATAATAAATAAATTCTTTAAAAAAAAAAGGTCACAGTCATGTCAGCAGTACTACTTGGTGATCACTACAAACACAAGATAGTGGAAGTCAAACCATCTCAATACTGTGCCTGCAGAAACTGAAGAGAAGTGTTCTTTAACCACTTGGCATATTAACTGCTAAGTGTGGACAGATTGCAAGGTTTAGGATCAACATCAGGGAGTGGGAATGAGCAAGGGGTTAGGGGACAGTAAAAGTTGTCACTGATGAAGGGAGCATCTAACTAGAGTTGGTGGTACAGGGTATGGCTGTAGTTTGGAGACATGGAGCTAGTGTATAGTTTGAAACAATGTGATAAAAGCCTTGATAATCATGGAGCCTAAGTGTGGAGTGAGGATGTTCAGCAAGGGGCTGTACTAGAGTAGACACTGGAAGAAGGCAGTTCTGAACAAGGCAGGAAGAATTTGAACAACAGACAACCCACAAGACTGGTACTGAAATAAGAGGTGGTTTTAGGGTCCTCACTGCAGAGGCGTACTACAAACAAAAAAATGAAGTTGAGTGTGCACACTTTGAATCCCAGCAGGATCTCTGTCCTAGGCTGCCCTGGTATGGCAGGTGCCAGGGCTGCACAGACCCAATCAAAAAACCAAAGGAAGCTGGTTCAGAGACGAAGATGAAAAGTTCAAATTGATTCTAAAGTATATCATACATTTTAATGCTCACTCTATAAAGCTACTGGCTGGTGTTAGGGATCAGCAGGTGGAGGCACTTGACTCTGATCTCCTGCACCTGGACTACAGGGTGACCTGCCTCCTGCAAGCTGTCCTCTAACTCCCACACACACATCATCACGCTAAGGTAGTGTGTGTGCACTCACACATGGGCAAACACAAATTAAGTTTTACTTTTTCCCTGGATTAAGTTTTGGGCAGAAACATCAGTTTATGAAAAGCTTTTTGATAGCAGAAAGTATTCCTGGCAGATTTTGGTTATTTGCAAAAAGATTAATCCAGTCCCGCCTCAGCCTCCTCAGTGCCACAGGTTTACCTAGCTAGAGGGTACTTCTGTCCCATGCTCCTGGGCATGCCACCTATCATTCTGACACTGTAATCTTGCATCTCCCTGTCTCCTAACTGAGGTTTGGGGATTAAACTGTCTTTAGGCTTGTCTATTTTTTGGGTATGGATTCAAGTTTTAAGTAGCTTTCAGAAGAACCTTACCTAGTTTCTTAAGTATCAGCTGATGGTTCTTGGGCAACTACAATCCTGAAACAAGCACCATGTTCTCCCTGTCTCATGAAAACTCAATGCAGAATCTACCACGGGAAATGCTTGAGATAACAGCCTGTATGTAGCACGGCATCATCTCAGACCCCTCCCTTTCCATAAACCCTGGAATAGGAGCTTACACTCCATATGGTACAGTAAGATTTCCCTCTTATTTCCAGACATATAGAAGTCATAGAACTTTCAAAGGGATAGGAACTATTGGTACAGTGACTTTATGGAGGGTAAGATTTCACATATATGGCTTCAATTTTCTTTTTTAGCCTAGTGCTATTTAAGGTAATGAAAGTGTATTACTTATATAATGCAAATCAAGGTATAAAGATAGCTGAGGGCATTGTGCTCACCTGATAAAGTGATCCACATAAGGCATTGCGAAGAACCGTTTCCTGTTGTATCTTTTATTTAGGTACCAAGGTAGAGGCCACTGCTTGAATTTGTGCCTGCCAAAAAAAGTTATTGCTTTATACAAAATATTTCATACATTTTTACTTAAAATTTCCATTGTTTTCTAATTGGCCTAAACAAGTTAATCTAAATAACAATTATTAGAAAATGGGGCCAGTGGGACAGCTAAGCAAGAAGGTACTTGCCATCTGAGTTCAATCCCTAGGATGTGTGTGAAGAGGAGGAAGGAACTGACTCCTGCCAAGTTCGCTCCGACTTCCACACATGTGCCACAGCACATACAAGTACACATACAAATAGGTAAAGTGTTTAGAAGTACTAACTAGTGTGTGGTGGGGGAGAGGGAAAAAGGGACTGACATGTAAAACAAGCTTGTTCCTAATTTGAACTAATTAAAAAAAAAAAAAGAGTGGAAAGACCTACAGAGAGAGGCAGCCGTAGATCACCATGGCTTCGAAGCCTACAGGAAAGGGTCTCCCCTCTGATCAAAAGGTCTTGCTCCTTGGCTCTGCCTGGGCGGCCCTGAATCTGAGCTCCAATCGATACGAGGAAATAAATAATGTAAAATCATAACACTGAGAAAAAAAATTTAAAAAGAAGTACTAACTAGCTGGGTGGTGGTGGCGCACACCTTTAGTCCCAGTACTCGGGAAGGCAGAGGCAGGCGGATCTCTGTGAGACCAGCCTGGTCTACAAGAACTAGCTCCAGGACAGCCTCCAAAGCCACACAGAAACTCTGTCTCGAAAACAAACAAAGTACTAACTAAAAGTAATAGTAGTTTTTAGTTATTACAAAATGCAATTAAAATTGCATGCTGGAGGTTTTTCAAATAGTCTACATCCCTAAATCCCTGGAAGAGTTTTGTTGTTGTTGATGTTTTGCTTTTTTTTTTTTTTTTTTTTAAGACATGATCTTTCTGTGTAGCCCTGGCTGTCCTGGAACTCACTCTGTAGACTAAGCTGGACTTGAACTTTGAGGTCCAACTGCCTCTGCCTCCCAAGTGCTGGCATTAAAGGTGTGGGCCACCACAGCCCAGCTCCTCAGAAGAACTTTAAGTAAGAGGTTTTGGCAATTTCTCTTTCTGCAGTGATTAGATGTTTCCTGACTGGGTGGCTGAAATTCCACATCAAGTGAGAAGATGCTGTTTGTAAGATGTAGGTTTGGAGAGTGTCTGGACACCTTAAGCCTCCCCACTTGCCGACTCATGCTTACGGTACATGTCAGTTTATCCTTTATTCCTCAGAGTCCATGCTGACACCCAGATCCTTCCCCGGAAGGAGGTAAACTGTTCATTACTTGGCCCAGGGCTTATCCTGATGGCCAGTGACATAAACTGACCTTGTTACTCGGAACTTTCAAGTTTCAGGTTCTTCCTGAGTAAGGTGGGCAAAGGAGTATGAGTTTTATAATCCAAAATTCTATGTGTACAGGCAGATTTTTCTGTCATAAGTATCTAACTTTTATGAGATCTTTGAAAGGATCCAGGATTCACACAGGACAAGAACCCACGGGGAGGAGTTGTGTGGTTTGGAATTCGTTTTTACCAGACAAAGCAACCTTGGTGCACATTTTCTGCTCTAGGGTATGGAGACCACTCTTAAATAAGCTCTCTAATATATCCAGAGAGGAAGTGTCTGAAAGGCACTGAGAGGGGTAACAAGGCAAGCGATCTCCACTCTTAGAAGTCATAGTGTAATCACGTACCAGATAATTCGTCCGAAGATGTCCCTTCTCCAAGCACCAGGCCTTGCTTTTTCTTGCCCCGTCTGAAGAAGCCTTAGAGCGTCTTCCCTCTCTTGGACAACTTTATCTAAGGCATCCATGGAATCAACAACCTGAGGTGACAAAAAGACAGCTAACTTCAGCCATCAACTACAACTGCAATCCAAAAGAACTCAAGATTTATGAAGCAGGGGATTTATGACATTTTATTTACAAACTGCTCTTTCTAGTAACTTCCTAGGAAGTCCTTTTGGCACAGGTGTGTGTGTGTCCGTCCATGGGTGTCTACAGTATAACTTTCTGTAACTTCTTTAACGTTTTATCATTTCATTTTTTAATTATTGGTTTACATGTATCCGATCTGTTTGGAATGGACACAGCTCTAATGCTGTTTGGAAATGCAGTAAGCTAAGGTGATGCATAACCACTGCTGCCTTTGTCAGAGCAAAACACACTTCTGCCCTTGACAGGTCACTGCTTTTCTTACATGCTCAGCAAGTACTCTGGCCTGCTTGGCAACTCCTGTTCTCTCAGGGAAGGATGTTAAGACTCATTAAGATGCAAGAAGATACTTTTTTCTTCTTCTTTAAAATATTACATCATGATTGCAATTTCCCCTCACTCCTCTCCTCCCAGTTCTCCCCTAGATCCACTTCTGTGTTTCCCTTCAGAAAAGGGCAGGCCTCCTAGGGATATCAATCAAATATGGTATATCAAGTCGTAGTAAGACTTGGCACACACGGATCTCAAATAACCACTCAGAGTCTTAATATTACAAAGGCTCAGCGCAGGCTTGTTATTACGTAACTCTTACATTTAAATTAACCTATATTTCTTATCTATGCTTTGCCATGTGGCTCATGTCTTGTTACCTCATTTTCTACACATCCTGCTTCCTCGGAGGCTAGCTGGCTGGTGTTTCCCTGACTCCCTGCTTCTTCATCCCAGCATCCTCAGTTTGATTGTCCACCCTAACTTCATCCTGCCTTGCTATAGGCCAATTAGCTTCTTTATTAACCCATGAGAGTAATACATATCCACAATGTACAAAAGGGTTATTCCACAGCATTTCCTCTTTTTTTTTTGTCTAATTAAAAAGGTTTTTAACCTTAATATAATAAAACTATACATAACAAAATAGTAAGAATTACCATTGCAATATCCAGCCCATTTATATTTGGTAAAATTAAAGAAAATATTCTATTATGTATCTTATCTTGGTGAGTCTAAATTTTTATATTTGTTTTCTATCATAACTAAGGAAAACTGTAAGTTTAATTATTTAGTTTTTAATTCCATCAAAGACCCCACAAAGGTGAAATGTTACCTAATGGCAGGGATATCAGGCTCCCTGGACAGTCACCCAAAGTTCCTCTGTAACACTGAGGCATTCAACTCTGGCCTACAACTCTAGCATATTTGATAGACTTTCCTGTGAAGCAGGAAATTCTGAGGGACTGTCCGACCTTTCTGTAATATGGCTGTTGATGGACGACACTGGAGCCTACCAAAGCCTTGAGAGGGATCACAAAACAGAAACGACATGATCCAGGATTCTCTTGCTATAAATGATATTGTTAAGATACTCTATACAAAGGAAATAAGACCCATGGATTAGACTATCACATCAATGTTCGTTTCCTGATTTTTATTTTATCTCTGGCAGGGCTTGAGAGCCAATGGAACTCTACTGAGGTTGGAAGTCCACAGCTGCTAAGTCCACAGAGTGAGCATTAGATGTTCACACCAATGGGTTCTATCAGTAGAGCATCATTACATGCTTACACCAATGGTCTATTAGCAGACCAGCACTTCAATGTTCAAAGTTTTAGCTGTGGAGCATTTTGGATTTCAGGTTAGGGATAATCAACTTGAAGGGACCAGCTCCCCATTTTGGCAGCCATAACAGTCGGACACGTGCTTTTCTGACCTTACCTTGGTCACGAGAGGTCAGATGCCTGCCTCGTGGCAAGGAACCAATCAGAAGTATGCTTTATGGCTCTGGGTGTGCTTTACGGACAAGCGCATAGCAATGACGGGCAGAGCATAGCAACCCCCCTGGGAGGCCCTATGGGCCATAACAACCAGTTGACCAATCAACACAGGGCAAACCCTCCAAGCCTGGAGGCACGCCACTCCTGAGCCTGTGCGTACCCCTAGACACTCCCCTGATGCTGCCCTATAAGATCTCTATGCAGCCCCGTCGAACTGTCTTTTGTAGCCATCTGCCATGGCGGGGGGGTGAAAGACCCGAGATAAAATGGGGTTAGCTCATTAAACAACAATAAAGCCTCATGCAGTTTGCATCAAGCTTTCGCCTCTGCCTGGTGGTTGGGGTGGCCGCGGTCCTGGGCTATAAGATCCTGGAAGCCTGAGCTTTCCTGAGGTCTTACAAACTGATATTCCCAAATTAAAAACAAAAACAAACCAAAACAAAATCCTCCCAAACTAGAAATACTACTGGCCCAAGCTTATCAAAAGGGACACATATCAGCACATACCAATTAGGTATACCTCACTCAAAGCAAGCCTCCTTCAAAGAGGCTTTTTAGTTTATAAATTTTACACGGCCAAGAATGTAGCCCAGCTGGTCTATCTACCTCACCATGAGAATCATCAAACAACCCCAAACAGAGGGAATGGCTTATACTCTTCAAAAACAACCCTGTCATGAAATATAAAGATTGAATCTCTGGATTAAAGGGATCACAAAACCAGAAACGACATGATCCAGGATTCTCTTGCTATAAATGATATTGTTAAGATACTCTATACAAAGGAAATAAGACCCATGGATTAGACTATCACATCAATGTTCGTTTCCTGATTTTTATTTTTATGTGTATAGGTGTTTTGCCATGGAACATCAAACTTGGGCTTCATGGCACGTGCTTACCATACATGGCTGCTTCAGAAAGGTAGCTACTCAAGCTAAACAAAATAAATACCATCTGTAGGCTGGAAGTCTCAACTAAGAATAAGGAGACGGCAGAGGGGCATGACACTTGTTTGGGGGGGTGACAAAATGCTCTCAAGTGAAACTGTTGCAAAGGTGTATAAAACTGCAAATTTACTAAAAACCATACAAATAGAAAAAAGATTTGAAAGAAATATAAGAACCATATACTCATTCCCTTTTAGTTTTCACCCCATCCAGAGTCTTAGGTCCCACAAGCCTACCTTTTCTAACCGCTCTGGACTTGGCATTGGCAATCTCTGTCGCTTGGCCTCCTGTTCTAAAGTTAGAAGCATGTTTCTTTCCTTCAGAAGGACATACCTGTACCAAATACAAAGCCACAATGCTATTCTACAGTTATTTCTGACATCAAAATTAAAACCCCCCAAAGTCTTGAAGTCCTTTGGGAACCTCACACAGGGCAGCATTAGGAAGAGCCGTCCTCCAGGCTGTGCACCTTGTGAGGTATGGGGGAGTGTTATTAAAGCACCAGCCACCATCATCCATCCCACAGGGAAGGGAGGTAACATCTACTGAGGAGCTAGTTCACACCCCAGTGCTGAGCATTCCAGTCTCTTCACAACCTTTGGAGTCAGCACACTAAAGCCCCCTCTCTAATGAAGACAATGGTCACAAAGCAAATTCTGGATTCAAATCTTAGACCCTCTGTGTAAATTCTACCATTAGCCTGCAACTCCACAGTGACTCATTGGGTGAGGGAGATGACATGTATTACAATTAAGGAGTGACATGAGACACCTCCTCTAGAGATAAGGAGACCAGAGAAAGCTTCCTACTGAGGCTTTTAAGATGGAAGGGGACAAAGACATATGTAGAGCACTGACCTGGCTGAGCTGGGGAGAGGGGCTGTGAATGCCCCATTCAGAATTAAAGCAGTAACTGTGGAGGGCAGTGCAAGTGAGGCAAAGGAACCGGTGGGAGCTTTATAATAGGGTCTATAGTCCTGGGGGAAGGAGTGGCAGAAGACACACTGGTTTTAGCACAGTGAGTGATGAAACATCTCTATGTTCACCTTTAATGATTACTCATAATAACAGTGCTTTAAGTAAAACTTACTTTTCTATAACAAATAAGCATAGTATGAATGGTCTTTGTAAACACTATGTAATTCTTTAATCTGCCAAGAAAGAGAAATAACCCTTTAAATTGGGATAAAGAATTAAATGTCTACTAGAGCGCCCAGCAGATAACAATTATGAGTGCAGTAGGTTGAGTGACAGCAGACGGATGAGGAGCTGGCAAGGCATTGCTGCACACACTGACCAGTACTGTCAGAGAGTCTATAATATATAGTCAAGAAAAGCCAAAAGCCTACATATATCATGTGAAACTTTCCCCAAACTAGTATGTTTTAAACAATATAGCTTTGGGCTACATACTAGACTGTAACCTTGTCTTAACAGCCTCAGACTTACCAGGGTCATGTGCCTACATTCACAATTAACGTACCCTTTGACACAAGCCACCGGGATAATAGGCTAAAACTACAGGCTATGAAATGGAATAGAAAGGAAGGCAGAAGTTGGGAATGATCTGGCCCATGGTGAGACTTTGGTTGGAGACATTATCTCCTGAATGTTCTTTTAGAACAGAGAAAAAGAACCCTGCTTGAAATGGAATAGATCTGTTCTTTTGTTTAATATTCCTAGTTTTTAAACAGCCTTCCAAGCAAATGGGGTGGGAAAAGAAACAGGAATGTATTTAGGGCAAAGAACTCTGGATCTCAGAAGTCCACGTTCCATTTGTTGCAGATTTTTAGAGGGTTAGGGACTTCTTTCTCAGTTTTGTCTTCTCTGTGTGCATGCTATTTGTATCAAAGACCACACATTCTGTTAAATGGTTGTTACTTCATTGTCTTGGAAACCTACTCAGCCTCTTGTTGTGTCTAATTAAGGTTCAAGGCTCCTATGAGTTGTAGATAACAGGGTTCATTTTAATAAGTAGGAGGTGAGTCACCTTTTGGGCTGTAAATATAAGGTCTTAACTGCTTTCTGTCAGCATTTATATTAAGCAATAATAAATTAACAGGGAAGGGGAAAAAGGAAGGCAGTGTAAATGTGGCCAACCAGTCCCCATGCCTTTTCTGAGCGTGTTTCTTGACACTACTAGTCTAAGGGCGTCAGTCTGCCTCTTATAGCACAACCTTACATTTCCTACTACCTTTGACCTGTGAAACATCTGTCATATTTCGACAAAGCTCATATGATTACCCACAGTACCAGGAAACAAATCATTTTGCCCAATTCTTTAGCACAAGGGTGTAGTTTTGACCCCACTGTTAAATTGTAACATTTCAATATGCAGAACACCCACCAAAGTTTATGTAAGTCTTCATTACTTTTGTTTCTTAGCTGCTGGCAGGTCCATGAAGCTCCTATGAAAAAGAGAAATGTGTAAATTAAATGATGCTTCTAACTCTGCTCTTAGCTAATTACCCAATCTTGAAATCTGTTTCTGTAGAACGTGGGACAGAATTATTATATTATATACAGCTAGAATTCAATTAAGTAACATGAAATTATCAGTAACAGCATTCAAGGGCTGCTGGTATTTGTGTCAAATGCATTTCTATTCCCTAATGCCACTACAATTTATTTTAAATTATTACTTAATGCCAACTAAAATAAGCCCAAACCTCATGCTAGTTGACACTTGCCACCATCCTGCCAGGGAAGTATTACTTCAGTTATGAGAATGACCTTTAAAATGCAAAGGAAATTTAATGGGGAAATCCTAGCTGGGCGTTGGTGGTGCACACCTTTAATCCCAGCACTTGGGAGGCAGAGGCAGGTGGATCTCTGTGAGGCCAGCCTGGTCTCCAGAGTGAGTGCCAGGATAGGCTCCAAAGCTACACAGAGAAAAACCAAAAAAGAGGAAATCCTAAACTGATCCTAAACTGGATAATCGTAGGATGATGGAGGGCTCGATCCTTTAATTCAGACCATTTTAAAGAACTCACCAGATTTGACCTTTTCTTCCCCCCAATTCTTTGGGTCATCAAAAAATTCTTCTAGTCCTTTCCTTGACAACGTGGTGTGAAGTAATTTACACTGGAGAAAAGATGTGACATGTGGTGTATTCTTATGCAACAAACTAAGAGAAAACCTGCAATTGAACACAAGTAAGTAATGGTTAAAGTTTATAAGCAAGAAACATTTCTTTATTACAGTGTTAAAAATTCTACCCAGTTATTAGAAAACATTTTTAGATGTAACTTATTAACAAGCATTAGCTAACAGCTCAGGGTGCTGGCACTCTGAGCACTGGCACATGCACAAGCAAACCAAGACCGTCATGCAGCAGACCAGAGGCAATTCAAGTTTCTTCCCAACTTGTCAGTCTACTACAGAATATGCAAAACACTGCACTTTGTTACATCACAACATTGTTTATTACGTGAATTTGTTTACAATACAAACAAAAAAATATAGGTATGCAATATATGGATACAGCTAAACGCCGAATGGTGACTTTTTTTTTTCTCTCCAAGAGGCCATGATTCCCATTTCCAGTAAAACAAAAGACTGAGTTTAGGTAGAAACAGGTTGGTCGTTAGCTTCACAATTTGCCTAGAAATGATCTACAAATGCATTTCTCTTCCTGCTACTTACCAGAAAATGTAAAAAGGGAGTTAAAAGAAAGTTTCCTTGTTGGTTCCTACCATATGAAAGATGCTATATTCTATTTTAGCAGGGACAATATATAAAAATATCTAAATTAAATGTTATTACAAAAATGAAGCAGTAATGAGATTCTGGCTAAAGTGGCACTAAATGAGAAATACACAAACACACACACATACACACACACACACACACACACACACACATATATAATACAAAACAAACACACAACGAAAAAAAGGATGTTATAAAAAGCTCTAGGTGCACTGTAAGCATATAGGTTTTATCCATGTGTACTTTTAAACAATGGAAGTGTCAAAAATAGGGTCCACTGTGTTAGACTAAATACATTATTGTACAGGCTGCATTGAATGGAACCTCTGTATTATAATTATCATAGAGAAGCACAGTTTGCATCATATTATGGCAATTTATCCTCAATGAAAACTTTCCAGAGTCCTTTTATTTTAGAATATTCTGTAAACAATCAATCCACCAGAACATGATTGTACAACAGTAAAATGTTTTCTTGCATTAAAAAAAAATTCTACCCAGGATTTTGATTCCAGAAGCAGTAAACTTTTAAATGTGTTAGAAAGCATCTTTTATTGTACAGATTGCTACCCTATTGTTTCACAGACAACATATTTACACAATTACATATGTATAACTTTTAATGCCATGACACACATGTAGAGGTCAGAGGACAACCTCAGTTCTCTTCCTCCATCTAGCTGAGGCAGAGTCTCCAGCTTATACTACTCTGCTGAATACTCCAGGTTAGCAGATCTGAAAGCTTCTGGGTACTTCTCTTTTCTCTGCCTCCTATCTGGGCATAGGAATGCTGGGATTGCAGATGTGTGCCACTGCATCCAGCTCCTACTACATAGGTTCTTGGGGTCAAACTGAGGTCAACAGGCTTGAATGGCAAATAGTTTTTACCTCCTGAGCCATTGCTGGCCTCCACGATTATATTTTAGAGTAACATTTTTAGATGCTTCATCCACTGTAGCAAGTACATCTATGAGTAGATCAAAACCATTCTGAAATTAAACTTTGCAACATTAAAAAGGCACAATGTTTTCTCCTTTAAGCCAGTAATTCTGTATCTACAGATTTTTAACTTCAGAGATGGGAGCTCACAGGTTAAGGTGTCTACAAAGGAATTAAATGTAGTTTCAAAGCATTGTGAATTACATAAACATATAACTAAACAACTGCTAATAACTGTACAACTGCATGAAAATCTTATGCAGAAATTACGTTTCTAAAATTATTTAATGACCTGCTATAATGACCTAAAAACAAAATGTGAAATGTTTCTCAAGCGCTGTCTTGTGAACCAAGAGTATTTGCCTTGATTCTACATTTGTTTTTATGTGTACTGGGGATTGAGCCCAGGGCCTTGGGCATGTTAGGTAAGTGGTCTACCACTGTGCTACATCCCGACTCTTGACTTGAATCTAATGATGATCAAATGGAGGCATGTTCTAAATAAACAACAACAAACAAAAAACTAATTCTACCCAAAATGCCAGCATCACAACAAAGGTATAAAGAAACATAATGGATTAATGGCAACTAGGGCAATAAATGATCCTTCATTGGGTCCCAAACAAAAGAATGGAACTGGAGACAAAAACAAAAACAAAACAAAAAAACATTAAAAGAATAAAGAAAGGAATTACTAGTGCAATTTTCACCTTTATTTTTGATTGCATGCTAAATAACAGCAGTGTATTCCTGAGGGTGACCACTGGGTCATACTTGGTAAGGCAATGTTCTTGGCTCCATATCTGAAATTTGACCTCTGTCAAATAGTGCAGAAAAAGGAGCATAAACACTGGGGTTTTGAAAAATGTGATGAAATGCCAATGAGTCTGGGTGAAGAGCATATAGTTACTGTTTTACTCTGATAACTTTTCTATTGTTCTGGGGAAATAATGGTAAGTGAAGTGTGTTTACCTGCAAAATTAAAGGACAAATGGCAATGTGTTCATCTGGTAATCCACAACTGCCTTTACCATCTTCTGAGTGATAGGTATTTATTTTATTTAAAAAAAAACACACTAAAATTATTTCATTAAAATTTTAATGCTTATGCATATGAATGTTTTCTTTGCATATGTGAGCACCACGAGTGCCTGGCTGATGCCTTCAGAGGTTCGAGGGAAGGCCTTTCTGCCCAGTTAAAGATGTTGGTGAGCCACTACGTGGGTGCTAGGAATCTCTGTAAGTACAAGTTCTAGTAACCACTGAGCCCCAAATTATTTTATTATCATTTTTAAAGAAAAAAAAGGAATGATGAAAGACGGAATGATTTATTCACATTTGCCACCTTGTTCAAGTTAACAGCTCTGCAAAAATTTTAAAAAAGCTAATTTCCGAAGTTAGTGTTAACAATAAAGAGCACAATAGATGCACAGAAGCTGTGTGTTCAACCAAACATGGGTTGCTTCCTTCAATTAGAAAACTCGGCTCGTGTAGGCAAATGTCAACAGAGAGTAAGTTGTCTCTTTCTCACACTTGCAGAAACACCTCCTGTTGACCCGGCTACTCTCACCACTTAGTATCTGCCGGACAATCTGGGTCCGAACCCGACGGTACCAATCCCTTTCTGTCTCACACCTGGCAAAGCCTTCCGTTCCCAGCTCTACTCCTCGGAAACGTCTCTCCCGACCCACGTAGCCCCAGCACAGAGCGTGTCCGAGTAAACCCGGAGCATCTGAAACTCCCAGGCGGCGGGACCCACCGCCCACAGCACCAGAACGCTGGCCGGGGTGGGCGACTCCAAGGTCACGCCCTCTGCCCCCGAGGCGGCCTCCGTCCCTGAGCAATGCTCTCGGCATTAGGTACCCAAAGGCGGGGGCAGTCATCCCTTCTTTCATCACTTACCCGGAAGGAGCGGGGGCCTGAGGATTTGCTAGGGAACCCACAGCCTTCAGGAACGCTGAGACTCTTCTACAAACACCCACTACACTGGTAGCAGCCATGATTCTAAAGTAGGCCCACTCTGCTGCTGCCCACAATGTCACTTCCGTTGTTGCGTGCGGACTAGTGAAGCGAACAGGAAAAGGCTTTGCCCTTACTAAACACGGCCGCGCTCACTGCTTTCTCCCCGCCACCCACCCTCAATCCACCATGGAGCTCCTAGCGGCTTGCTT